AATTTGTATCAGCGGCCAGCATCTCATCCACCACGCAGCGCACCTGGTCCCTCTCCGAGGGACTCAGCCGGTGTGGATTCATCCATATAGGGCTCACATCTCCGGTATCAATGTGATAGGACAATAGCGATATGCGAACCAAATCAAAATCCTTTTTACAAAAAATGTAAGCATAGTTGGATAGCAGCGCCCGTAGCGCACTACGTTGATCAGCGGTCAAAGATGCATTTTCCTGGCACAATTCCGCGATCCAACGATCGTCGGATTTTGCACTGGAATCAATCACCCCAGCCAATTTTCATGGTCGATTATCATCATGATCTGTAAAAGTGGTAGTGGCGTGACCCAACACCATACCGGCCGTGACCAAAATACACTCTGTATCCCCGTTTAAAACTTGCAAAAACGGGGCCTGACCGGCCCGGACAATCGTCTGAGCCCCCACAAGAGCAAGACCCTTGGTGGCACTGTTCGATGGGGACAAAAGTACGCCCGCCACCACGTCTACCTCGTGGAAACATTTCCGGTACCGCAATGGAATGAGCATTTGGGAACCCGGAGGAATCTCAACCGAAACATCCGCAAGTGCCTGCACAGCAACGCATGGCGAGGGACGACTCAACGGGGATGGCAAAAAAAACATCTTATGACCCGCTGGCAACTCCAGACAGCCCTGATCGACAATAATTTTAACTGGCATCTTACGAAGAAAGTCGGTGCCCAACAAGCAGGGCACCACCAAGGACCAGGAAATCAAGACCATCCCCGATGCAGCAACATTTCCCATGGCAACATGGGCGTCAACGTGTCAGATAATGCCCATACTACCCCTGTTAGCATCAATACATGCATCGTAAGCCAGCCGCACACGCGAAGCAGGAATAGAAAGGAGGTGGAAAATGACGTCGGAGATAATCGTGGCAGACGCTTCGGTGTCCACTAATATCCAAACGACCACCCACTGTATAGAACCCGGTACCGTGGAGGCTCCCGTCGCAGCCACTACAATATGGCGTGCCAATTTCCTCCATTGCATAATCGTATGTGGCGAACCATCAAAGGCATCGTGTGAGTCGCGAATCGGTGAATGTTTAAGCGCGTCGGAAAATGCCTGAAGTGTCAATATATGCCGGGTTTCTGATGCATGCCGACTTGCCTTGCTGGGGTCGCTGCCTGTCCATGGAGACGGCGCTAAAGATGGAGTCCTGGGAGGTGGCGGAGGACGGGAATGACTCCGACAGTCACGTGCGAAGTGGCCCAAGCGGCCACACTTGAAGCATGTCATCCCAGCTCGCCGAGCGGCCCCGCCGTCGTCCCTGTGTGGTGTTGAGGACCCTCCTCCACGCGCCCCAGGTCTCCGCCGCGGATCCCAGCGAGGCGCGGTGGCGGCCAGGTGTCTGACCCCCGAGTCATCCGGGATGTGGACAACTCGAGATGGCGCCCATCCCATCGGCGCATCATCCATGGCAGGGTCTCCCATCCAGGCGGCTATCTGCGCCAAACGGCGCAAGTTGTCCTGGGCGTCGAGGCACCTAGCGGCTCATGACCGCACACAGGCAACATCTTGCCCAAGATGAGGGGGTCGAGTATATCAGGTTTGGCGTCGGGTTAAGCAGCCATCGTGAGCGCCAACTGAGCACCCCGGTAGGCAAGCGGAGACTCGTTGGTCCCCTGCCAACGCTGCATAAAATTTCTCTGAGTGTCCGACGGTGGCTCAAAAACTTCCGCCATCTCGGCAAATGCGCCTTTCAACATCTTCTTCTCAGAGGGGATGGAGCGGAACACCGCTAGCGATACATCGTCAAGGAAAGTAGGCAAAGCATCCAAGGGCTCCTCCTCCGTCTACCGCATGGAACAAAACGCGGACTCGAACCGCCAAGTAAAAGCACTCCAGTCGCCGCCCGCGACAAATTCCTTGATGTGAGGAAGACGATGGCTGCACCCCGCGCCGCAATCACCCGCCGACGACGTCATTGGCGGCTGCGCACCACGCGGCTCCGGTGCCTTGGTCTAGCCAGCCGCGTTTGCAGTAACCGGGTCCGCGGCACCCGGGGTCGGTTGGTCTTGGGTGAGCGAGTCATCATCTTCGTCGGAAGACGGCGCAGGCGGGTTCTTCTTCTTGATATGCTTGAACATTCTCGTAGCACTTGTTTCGTCCGATTTCAAGAGTCACTCTGACACCACTTGTAATAAAACACTTCGACGACGATTCTGGACTTGTGTCTTCTTTATTATTTATTTCTCGATGCCTGGACAGCACCGCGTTCCTCCCACATAAGCACCGCTTGCTCCGTGTTGCCCGGTGTGAGTTGTTGTTGTCCCGTGCACGGCTCGCTCACTCTCCCCGTTCCCGCGCACCGCTGGCAGACGGCGCACAAAGAGACAGCCTCCGGACCACCACGTGGCCGCTGGCGTTCCGGAGGCGAAGGACGTGGTCCCGCTTCCAGAATTACCACACTGACCCCGAGCCTTGTCCTGCTTCCCCTTATAAACCCCTCACGCTTCACCAAGCCCCGCCTCTAGCCACGCTCCCTTACGAACCCTCCAGATGGTTCCCCATGAGCACTCTTGAGCTGCGCCCTTGAACTTTGGCCCCGATGATCCCATCCACCTGATTGGCTAATGGCTGAAGCGGCGGAGTCTATCCCACCAATCGGCGACCGTCCGTGTACTCTCGTATTGGACTATGACTGCATAATGACTGTGGTGGCACCTGCTATGATTACAGCAGTGCATACTGACTGTGGTGGTACCTGCTATGACAACAGCAGTGCATATTGACAGTGGTGGTCTCTGCTATTATTAAAGCAGTGCATACTGACTGTAGTGGTAACTGCTATAATTACAGCAGTGCATACTAACTGTGGTGGTACCTGCTATGATTCAAGCAGTGCATACTGTGGTGGTACCTGCTTTCACTACAGCAGTGCATACTAACTGTGGTGGTTCCTTCTATGATTACAGCAGTGCATACTGTGGTGGTACCTGCTATGTTTACAGCAGTGCAAACTGACTGTGGTGGTACCTGCTATGATTACAGCAGTACATACTGACTGTGGTGGTATCCTGCTCTGACTACAGTAGTGCCAACTGACTGTGATGGTATCCTGCTGTGATTACAGCAGTGCATACTGACTGTGGTGGTACCTGCAATGATTACAGCAGTGCATACTGGTGTGGTGATAACTGCAATGATTACAGCAGTGCATACTGCTGTGGTGGTATCCTGCTCTGAATACAGTAGTGCCAACTGACTGCGGTGGTACCTACTATGATTACAGCAGTGTATACTGACTGTGGTGCTACCTGCTATGATTACAGCAGTGCATTCTGACTGCTGGTACCTTCTATGATTACAGCAGTGCATAATGACTGTGGTGGTACCTGCTATGATTACAGCTGTGCATTCTGCTGTGGTGATACCTGCTATGTTTACAGCAGTGCATACTGACAGTGGTGGTACCTGCTATGAATACAGTAGTGCCAACTGACTGTGATGGTACCTGCTATGATTACAGCAGTGCATACTAACTGTGGTGGTATCCTGCTATGACTACAGTAGTGCCAACTGACTGTGGTGGTATCCTGCTATGATTACAGCAGTGCATACTGACTGTGGTGGTACCTGCTATGATTACAGCAGTGCATACTGAATGTGGTGGTACCTGCTATGATTACAGCAGTGCATACTTCTGTGGTGATACCTGCAATGATTACAGCAGTGCATACTGCTGTGGTGGTATCTTGCTATGATTACAGCAGTGCACACTGACTGTGGTGGTAGCTGCTATGATTACAGGAGTGCATACTGATTTTGGTGCTACCTGCTATGATTACAGCAGAGGGGGGGGTCTGACTTTTTGTGACGCCATGTGACGAGGGGGGTAAAAAATCGTCTAAAATCGTGTGATGTCATTTATGCACGGCCCCTTTCACACAAACTCACTCTCACTCACCATCACTCATGCTCCCTCATTCACTAAAAAATGTACACTTCCTCACTCACTCACACCAACTCACTCATTCTCACTCTTACACTCTCTCAGTTTTACTCACACACCCTCACTCTCGCGTAACAATAGCCGCCAGTCGCCATTAAGTGGCGGTGACGTCACTATGGTGCTTGGGGCCGTCCATAAATGACGTCACGCGATTTTGAACGATTTTTGACCCCCCCTCCTCGTCACACAGCGTCACAAAAAGTCAGACCCCCCCCTCAAATATGACGTCACAAAGCTCTGCCCCCCCCCCCCCAAATAAAAATAAAACATGCTTCAAATCTCTTTAAACTATTGTCATTGTAGTGCGTATTTAATGTGGCGCTGCACTCTGATGTTGTAGGAGAAAACATTTATTAAAACGTATATTTAATTAAGTAGAACGTGTTGTCTATATTTATTTAAAATTGCGCATTTTGATGTAACTTCACATTTCTCAACCCCCCCCCCCCGTCACACATCGTCACAAATGTCTGACCTCCCCCCCCCTACTAGGTGCGTGACGTCATTTATGGACGGCCACTTGTGCCAGGCTAGGTGCACCTTGACACGTCAACTGTCGAACACTCACCCACACTCTCATACATACAAAGACACAGATCCCCCTTCATAGTCTTAACATACTTTCGTGTAAAGTTCTGTAAGTGAGCACCTATGAATGCCGGCACACGTCGCCTTTGTCCCCCTAGTGGCGATGTTAACACTCTGCACCAGGTACTCTTTTGAGGCTGAATCAACCGAGGGAAGGCCCAGAACCGGCTTATATAATCGTCACTGGGTTTGGCTGTAGGTGGGAATTGAACCTGGGTCGCCGGGTTCGTAGCGCAGCGTGCTTGCCACTGCACTACCGCTCCCCACAACTCACTCACACAGTGATACACAATCACCAACTCACCCACTCTCTAACTCTCTCTCTCTAACTCTCTCTATAACTCTCTCACTAACTCTCACTAACTCTCTATAACTGACTCACTCTCACCCCCCCGCCCCCACGTGACTCACAAAGCGCAGCATGAGGCCCTGGTAGGCGTGGTGCTTGAGAAAGCTCAGCAGGTACTTGAGGCCTCCACAGTCCACGAAGGTCTGACCTGTGACCAAAGAGAGAGAGGAGAATCAGACTCAGAGATCCCTCGACTCACCCCAATAGATGAACCGTGGTACCCCTACACACACCACGATACCCCTACATAAACCACGATACCCCTACACACACCGTGCACACACATACACCATGTACACACACACGCCATGTAGAAACACCACGCACACACACTCCATGTGTGTGTGTGTACACACACCATGTGTGTACCAGTGACGTGCAGTGAGGTCAATGGCTGGGGAGGCACTGGCTAGTGTCAGAGCCAGATGCACACACTGAAGGGGGCGTGGCCTCACAGAGGGGGCGTGTCCTCGCTGAGGGGGCGTGTCCTCGCTGAGGGGGGCGTTTTAGACACGTCCCCCTCAGTGAGGCAGATGTGATAGCTGCCTCCTCTGGGTGCTTAGTCATTACAGTATCATGACGAGACCAGCGAACATAAACAATTTTATACACATACGTGAAATAAGTTACCTGGAATATGGAAGGCAAGGACATGACATGAAGGGGTCTACAAACATTACATTGGTATAATACTAAGATAGTAACAGGCAAGCGCTTATTGCCCGCGCTCCATCCAGTTACTGAGGGGTTACGCAATCAGAGGGGAGGCTGAGCTCATCGCTGCCTCACCTCTCGTCTCTTCCTGTATTTGCAACGGAGCTGCACAGACCATGTACACACACACCATGCACACACACACACCTCATGTACACACACATGAACACACCATGTACACACCATGTACACACACAAACCCTACGTACACACACAATGTACACAAACAATGTCCACACCCACACCATGTACACACACACACCCCATGTACACACACACAATGTGTACACACACACTATGTGTACACACCCACTATGTGTACACACAATGTACACACACAGACACCATGTACACACACACGCACCATGCACACACCCACAATGTAAAAACACACACACCATGTACACACACACACACCATGTACACACACACTATGTGTACACACACCATGTGTACAAACAGACACCATGTAAACACACAACATGTACACACATGCAACATGGACACACACACCATGTACACACACACCATGTACACACACGTACACCATATACACATACACGTACCATGCATACACACACACCATGTACACACACACCATTTACACACACACAATGTACGCACCCACACCATGTACACACACACATACATATACCATGTACACACACACAATGTACACACCCACACCATATATACACACACACCATGTACACACATCATGTACACACACCATGTACACACACACACACCATGTACACGCACATGCACACACCATGTATACACACCATGTACACACATACACACCATGTACACACACACACCATGTACACACACAAACCCCACGTACACACACAATGTACACAAACAATGTCCACACCCGCACCATGTACACACATACACACCATGTACACACACACCATGTACCCACACACACCATGTACACACACATGCACCATGCGTACACACACACCATGTACACACACCATTTACATACACACACAATGTACACACCCACACCATGTACACACACATACACATACCATGTACACACACACACCATATATACACACACACCATGTACACACACGCACCATGCGTACACACACACCATGTACACACACACAATTTACACACACACAATGTACACACCCACACAATCTACACACCCACACCATTTACACACACATATGAACAAACCATGTACACACACACCCCATGTACATACACACACAATGTACACACCCACACCATGTACACACACACCATGTATACACACACTATGTGTACCCACACCATGTGTACACATAGACACCATGTACACACACAACATGTACACACACGCAACATGGACACACACACCATGTACAAACACCATGTACACACACGTACACCATGTAAACTCACAGACACACCATTTACAAACACCATGTACACATGCACCCCTTGTACACACACACCCCCATGTACACACACAATGTACACACTCACACCATGTGCACACATACCATGTACACACACCATGTGTACACACACCATGTACACACACCATAAGTACACACAGACCATGTAAACACACACCATGTACACACACAAACCCCACGTACACACACAATGTACACAAACAATGTCCAAACCCACACCATGTACACACATACACACCATGTACACACACACCATGTACACATACGCACCATGCGTACACACCATGTACACACAAACCATTTACACACACACACAATGTACACACCCAAACAATGTACACACCCAAACCATGTACACACACACATGAACAAACCATGTACACACACACCCCATGTACACCCACACAATGTAAACACCCACACCATGTACACACACACCATGTACACACACACCATGTGTACACACAGACACCATGTAAACACACAACATGTACACACACGCAAAATGGACACACACACCATGTACACACACGTATACTATGTAAACTCACCCACACACACCATTTACAAACACCATGTACACCTACACACCTTGTACATACACACACCCCATGTACACACAAAATGTACACACTCACACCATGTACACACACATACCATGTACACACACACCTTGTGTAAACTTGTTCGTCCATCAAAGTTGATGATGACCATGGCACGTTTGTCATTTTGTTGGGTTTTGATGAGTGCGCAGATGGCTGAAGAGGCCAATCCGAGCCCGGAATTCTCTGTGGCACACTGGACACGTCAGGGAGGATGTAAGAGCTCTGAGGTGCAGCCACACGCCCTTCCTTGGTAGATTTGCGCTGCTGCCTCTTCAAGATAGCACAGGAGCTTCTCCTACTCTCACAGAGGACTGCACCGTCCTGTACTTTTCTTCTCCAGGCAGGTCGGTCCTGTGCTAGGGATTCCCAGCTTTTCAGGTCGAATCCAAAGCTCTTCAAGGAAGCTTTAAGGGTGTCCTTGTAGCGCTTTTTGGGGCCACCTTGTGCTCGCTTGCCATTCTTCAGCTCGCCAAAGAAGACTTGTTTTGGAAGTCTCGCGTAGGGCATTCTGGTCACGTGGCCAGTCCATCTAAGCTGTTCCTTCGCAAGCAAGGTGTAGATGCTGGGGATATTTGCCTTGCTGAGGACTTCCGTGTCAGGGATTCTGTCTTGCCACTTGATCCTCAGCAGTTTCCTCAGACAGCTCAAGTGGAGATGGTTACATTTCTTGGCATGGCGCTGGTAAACTGTCCAGGCTTCGCACCCGTACAGAAGAGTTGGTAAGACAACAGCCCGGTAGACCTTCAGTTTTGTCTCCTGCTTGATGCCACTCCTTTCCCATACCGAGTCACGTAGACGTCCAAAGGCTGCACTGGCCTTGACAATCCTGATGTTAACTTCATCATCTATGTGCACAGCGCGAGACAGTGTACTACCAAGGTAAATAAACTTGTCAATTGCTGAAAGCTTTTGCCCACTCACAAAGATGGTTGGCTCAGTGTAGGGTTTCCCAGGAGCAGGTTGGTATAGGACTTCAGTCTTCTTTGTGCTGATTGTTAGGCCGAAGTTGTTGCAAGCTGAGGAGAGGTGGTCCATACTGTCCTGTAGATCTTTATTTGAGCCAGCAGCCAGAGCACAGTCATCAGCAAACAAAAGTTCTCGAACAGTGACTTCCTCCACTCTAGTTTTGGCTTGCATCCTCCGCAGATTGAATAGCCCACCGTCAAAACGGTAGATGAAGTTAATCCCAGTGTTGTGATTCTGGAATGAGTCTTGCAGCATGGCAGAAAACACCATGCTGAAGAGCGTTGGCACTAAAACGCAGCCTTGCTTCACCCCGTTTGTCATTGGGAACGGATCAGAGAGTTCTTGCTGGTCTCTGACGCTGGCCATCATGCTATCATGGAGATTGCGCACAATGCCAATGAACTTGTCTGGACACCCATACTTGGCCATGATTTTCCATAGGCCCTCCCGGCTGACTGTGTCGAATGCTTTTGTTAGATCAACGAAAGCCATATATAGATCAACATTTTGTTCTTGGCATGTCTCCTGTAGCTGCCGGGCAGTAAATACCATGTCAGTGGTTCCGCGGTCTTTTCCGAAACCACACTGACTCTCAGGTAGCAGACCCTGGTCTAGGTGGACAATTAGGCAATTCAGAAGGATTCTTGCCAAGATTTTGCCAGCGACTGATAGTATGGAGATGCTTCTATGGTTGTCGCAGTCCTGCCGATTGCCTTTCCTTTTATATAGATTGATTATAGTAGTATCCTTGAACTCCTTGGGAACAGCTTCTAATTTCCACAGAGACTGGAAGAGGTCGGTCAGTTTCTCGACTAAGCGAGGCCCTCCAGCCTTGTAGATTTCTGCTGGAATGGCATCGGACCCTGGAGCTTTGCCTGATGAGAGGAGTGTTATGGCTTTGCTGGTTTCCTCAATGGATGGTAGAACAGCCAGAGACTGGTTTATTTCAACTTGAGGCAGTCTCGCAATTTCCTCCTCATTTATGCATGATGGCCGGTTGAGGACCGCGCTGTAGTGTTCGACCCACCTTGCAAGTATTTTGTCCTTCTCCGTGAGGAGTGTTGTTTCATCTGCGTTCAGGAGAGGTGAAGTTCCTGAGTGTTGCGGACCATAGATCTGCTTGAGTGCATAATAGAGGCACTTGGTGTTGTTACTGTCAGCGTAGGATTGAATCTCCTCAGCTTTTGCGCACAGCCAGGCGTCTTGCATGACTCTGAGTCTCTGCTGGACAATCCTGCGAATGTTGAGGAAGGCAGATTTCTTTAAACTTGAGCTGCTGTCATTCAGGTATGCTTTATGCAGGCGGTGTTTTTCGTCAAGGAGTGGTCGGATTTCTGCATCGTTCTCATCAAACCAATCTTGATGTGTACGTAATGGAACACCAAGTGATTCAAGGGCTGTAGAATGCAGCACGGTCTTGAGAGCAGTCCAGTCTGCCTCAG